TGGGGCTCAGGAACGTGGGGAGCACCAACGTGGGGAGCACCAACGTGGGGAGCACCAACGTGGGGAGCACCAACATGGAGATCACCAATGTGGGGAGCAGGAACATGGGGATCACCAACGTGGGGAGCACCAATGTGGGGAGCAGGAACATGGGGAGCACCAACGTGGGGAGCACCAATGTGGGGAGCAGCCTCTGCCTGGCCAAGTACCTGCTGGGGGTCCTGGGGGACCCCTTCTGCGCCGCCGTCCGCAGGGACAGGGACGCGTGGGACGCGTGGGACGCGTGGCCGGGAGCCGCCGGGGGTAAGCGGGGAGCGGGGTGGGGTGGCACCGGGGACACCGGGGACACCGGGGACACCGGGGAGGCTGAGGCTGTGTTTCCCGCAGGGCTGACGGGCTGGAGGCGGGGGGAAGGAGCCCCCCGGCTCTGTGACGCCTGCCAGCGCGGCTTCTTCAACTCGCACTGGAGCTGCGCCAGATGTGGCTTCCAGCTGTGCCCCGAGTGCCACCGCAGCAGGCGGGAGGAGAGCGGCACTGGTATGGGGGCAGGGAGGGGTGGAAAAGGGGGGTGTCAGCGCTGGGGGGCTCAGTGGGGACAAACGCAGCCTCTCCGTGACACAGAGGGTCCAGCGCTGCCCCTGGAGTGCACCCACGGGCGGGACCACCCCGTGTCACCGCTGGTCCCCACGCAGTTCGTCCCCACCGCTGGTGAGCGCGTCCCCCAGCCCCCAAAAAACCCTCTTCGGTCAGTGCCGGGGGGGGGCTGACACCCCTGTCGCCATCCTCGCCCCAGTCCTGAGCCGGCTCTGGAAGCTCCTGCACGAGGTCAGGGTCAAGTTCGGCATCGAGTCCCACTGTCCCTGCGGGGAGGGGGCTGCGGAGCAGAGCCCGGCGGAGCCCCCGCAGGTACGGCGTGGGGTGGGGGGGGGCTCTGGGTGCTGGGGAAAAGGGGGTGCGGGTGCACCCCAACCTTGCACAGGGCGCGGATGGATCCCCACTGCTCCGGCGTGTTTCAGGAGCCGCCGGGGGTCGCGGAGCCCACCCCGCCCCTCCGCAGCCACGGCCCCGCCGACCCCACCCGGGTCTCCAAGGAAGGTAGGGCCGGCTGCGACCCCCCCGCGGGGCACGGCCCCGCTCCGGGGGGGTCAGGGATGCCGCACCCCGTCCCTTTTCGGGGACGTGAGCGACCCTGACCGTGTTCTGTTCCCCCCCGAGCAGGGAGCCCCGAGCGGGGGGCGCCGTCCCCGGGGCAGCCCCCGGAGCGGGGGGGTCCCGCGCAGGCCGCGACCCTCTGCGACCTGCTGGCGTCCACCGCCGTGAAGCTGTGCCTGGGGCAGCGCGGGGTGCGCATGGCCTTCGCCCCGGTGGCACCGGCGCTGCCCAGCGTGAGTCCCGCGGCTCTGGGGGCACCCCGCATCCCGCTGCCCGCCCCGAGCCCCCCTGCCCACCCCGCGTCCTGCTCCGTGCCCCGCTGCCCACCCCCTGCCCTGCTACCCACCCGTGTCCCGCTGCCCACCCCACACCCCGCTGCCCATCCTGTGTCCCACTGCCCCCCCCCCCCCCCCCCCCCCCCCCCCCCCCCCCCCCCCCCCCCCCCCCCCCCCCCCCCCCCCCCCCCCCC